TGGATCACTTTGGCATTCATGAACTGATCAGTCAAATTAAATCAATCAACAATTACACGCGCATCGATCTAAGGGTCCTCATTTAAAAAAAACTGATTCTGGAGAGGGTTTATGATTCGAACCCCCGCAGTTTTTTGTTCGAGTTCGCGATTTTTTCTGTTCCGCCCAGGTTTCGCGAATGTAAAACGCTCTTTCAGGCAGAATGGCCGTGTCCAGATGAAACAGTTTACATCAAACCATGTCATGATGCATAAACAAGCCAGTGAGTAGATGGCCGGCAGACACAGACAAATGGAAAATAGAATGCTCGCAAATGGAGAAGGTTGTGGACATAGCTGCGATGGACACACGCCTTGATAACCACAGATTGATGTGCCTACGGGTAGCATGCACACGGGTTTATTTGTATATGAATATGTGAATCCCAGGCTCAGGGATTCATGCGCGCTGCAAGAATACATTTCAAACATGACGCATTGAATTTGCATGTTCAGAACTTATTCATGCCACTCTATACATTATTCCACTCACTATTCCATGAGATTCTTCTCACACATACATCAGATTGCATTGCATGCATGCAGTGCAGTGCATTGTACCATGCGTATCCATGCGTTGCATACATGCATGTAATTCCCACCCTCAATGTCTTGCTGTTTGCACTTCATGTACGGATGTTTAATATATGTCCATTTCTTTACGTATGCAGAAAATAGAACATGTATGTTGTACATACCCATGCATTGAGTTTGGCAGGCTTGGGTGTGCATGTATCATCTTTAAGTGAGTCAATGAATGCTATCATTTGGGCTCAAGTGGAGTTGAACCAAAATAGCATTCATTGCTTTTCTTTCTAGGGACAGGCCATGTCAGTTTTTGGGCCCGTACGAGACTCCATGACAAAGTTCGGGACATTCTTGCCACAGCACGTCAAACAGGCCACTTCACTCGAGGTACAGCATCCAAACTTTATGGACTTGCAAACTTCTTGGAGCAAGGCATCTACGGGCGAGTCGGGTATGGCGGCCTCATGGCCGCCAAGGCACGCCAAGAGGAGAATGCCACATCCATGACCCCAGAGATTGAAGCCTGCTTCGAGGTGATCGAAGCTGCGATGCGCTTTCAGCCAAAACGTGAATTTCCCGTTTGCCGTATGGAGCGACTTCGATTTTTGGCAGCGTCAGATGCTGCTGTCGAAGCCGACAACCCAGGCTCAGGTGGATTCCACCTCATCTTTTTCCAAGCGGATCACAAACCCGTCTCAGTTTTGTTGCAACCAATTGTGCCGAGCTTCAAGCCCTCTGGCAGCCTGCGGGGACCCAGCGTATCCATGCGTTGCATACATGCATGTAATTCCCACCCTCAATGTCTTGCTGTTTGCACTTCATGTACGGATGTTTAATATATGTCCATTTCTTTACGTATGCAGAAAATAGAACATGTATGTTGCATATACCCATGCATTGAGTTTGGCAGGCTTGGGTGTGCATGTATCATCTTTAAGTGAGTCAATGAATGCTATCATTTGGGCTTAAGTGGAGTTGAACCAAAATAGCATTCATTGCTTTTCTTTCTAGGGACAGGCCATGTCAGTTTTTGGGCCCGTACGAGACTCCATGACAAAGTTCGGGACATTCTTGCCACAGTATGTCAAACAGGCCACTTCACTCGAGGTACAGCATCCAAACTTTATGAACTTGCAAACTTCTTGGAGCAAGGCATCTACGGGCGAGTCGGGTATGGCGGCCTCATGGCCGCCAAGGTACGCCAAGAGGAGAATGCCACATCCATGACCCCAGAGATTGAAGCCTGCTTCGAGGTGATCGAAGCTGCGATGCGCTTTCAGCCAAAACGTGAATTTCCCGTTTGCCGTACGGAGCGACTTCGATTTTTGGCAGCGTCAGATGCTGCTGTCGAAGCCGACAACCCAGGCTCAGGTGGATTCCACCTCATCTTTTTCCAAGCGGTCGGATCACAAACCCGTCTCAGTTTTGTTGTAACCAATTGTGCCGAGCTTCAAGCCCTCTGGCAGCCTGCGGGGACCCACATTGCGCAACAGGAGCTTTCTATGGCGCTTTATGCCCTGATTGAACGCCCTGACCTTTTTCGCCATCGACACGCTCTTTGCATCCTCGACAACGTTGCCGTAGTCATGACCTTAGTGAGAGGGCGTTCTAGTTATTCGGATTTAGCAAAGCTCGGCCATTTGATCCATTTAGCCGTGTTCGCACTGCGTGCCCAGGGATACTGGGAGTGCGTCCAGAGCAAGAGCAACTGTGCCGATGATATCAGTAGATTAGGTGTCAATGACCCATGGTGGCGCTGCAATGGATTCAGATTTCATTCGTCGCACCTCCCCACCATCTTTTTCCATCTGCCATTCGTAGCAGTCATCCTCACCTTCGAATTCCTTTAGTGCTTTGGGTGTAGTAGTGCGTTGAGTGATGCCTGCAAAAGCAGGTTCCAACCTGGGGTGACCAGGTAGCTGACTAGAGGTTAAACTGGTCTGAGGCTACGCGCGTGTCACACAGTGACCGACCCAAAGCAAACCTGAGGATAGCAGGTGAAACTGACTGAACACTGGCAGGGTTTGGAAAAAGAGCTGTAAGTGTGTGCACGGTACGGAGTTTTATATGTCACTTTGAGATGTATATAGATATTTATTTATTGATTTATTTATTTATTTATATATTTGGTTATTGTCTCTTTATTTTTTATTTATTTATGTGTTTTTTGTTTATATAGTATGTATGTTTAGGTGTACATATATGAGTATACATGTTTATCTTTGCATCTATCTATTTATCTATTTATAGATTTTGTATATACATATAGGTGTTTATTTCTAACGTATATAAGTATGTATTTAAATATATGCATATATAATTATATATATATATACATGTTTATATATATATATGCATGTGTATTTCCCCACATGCATGTGTATTTCCCCACATTGACGTGTGGGGTTTTTGTTTTTAGTTTTGTATTCGCCTTCCTCCGCCGCCTCTCGCTTCTATGCTCACACTTACTCACTCACAATGTGCACTGCCAAGGGGTCGGATGTACGCCCCGGGGTTCCGCTGGCGTCCCTGGGTCTCCGCCTCTTTTCCGTGCCAGGCGTGGGACAATGTGCACTGCCAAGGGGTCGGATGTACGCTCCGGGATTCCGCTGGCGTCCCTGGGTCTCCGCCTCTTTTGCGTGGCAGGCGTGGGGCATGTGCACTGTCAAGGGGTCGGATGTACGCCCCCGGGGTTCCGCTGGCGTCGCTGGCTTTCCGCCTCTTTTGTGTGGCAGGCGTGGGTCAATGTGCATTGTCAAGGCGTCGGATGTACGCCCCGGGGTTCCGCTGGCGTCCCTGGGTCTCCGCCTCTTTTGCGTGGCAGGCGTGGGACACTGTGCACTGCGAAGGCGTCGGATGGACGCCCCGGGGTTCCGCTGGCGTCCCTGGGTCTCCGCCTCTTTTGCGTGGCACGCGTGGGACAATGTGCACTGTCAAGGGGTCGGATGTACGCCCCGGGGTTCCGCTGGCGTCCCTGGGTCTCCGCCTCTTTGGCGTGGCAGGCGTGGGACAATGTGCACTGTCAAGGGGTCTGGCATCCCTGGGTCTCCGCCTCTTTTGCGTGGCAGGCGTGGGACAATGTGCACTGCCAAGGGGTCGGATGTACGCCCTGGGGTCCCTCGGGCTCCGCCTCTTTTGCGTGGCAGGCGTGGGACAATGTGCACTGCCAAGGGGTCGGATGTACGCCCTGGCGTCCCTCGGGATCCGCCTCTTGGTGGCAGTCGTTGGCAACAATGTGCACTGCCAAGGGCTCGGATGTACGCCCTGGCGTCCCTTGGGTCTCCTCCTCTTTTGCGTGGCAGGCGTGGGACAATGTGCACTGCCAGGGGGTCGGATGTACGCCCTGGCGTCCCTTGGGTCTCCGCCTCTTTTGCGTGGCAGGCGTGGCACAATGTGCACTGCCAAGGGGTCGGATGTACGCCCTGGCGTCCCTTACATCTCCGCCTCTTTTGAGTGGCAGGCGTGGCACAATGTGCACTGCCAAGGGGTCGGATGTACGCCCTGGTGTCCCTTGGGTCTCCGCCTCTTTTGCGTGGCAGGCGTGGCACAATGTGCACTGCCAAGGGGTCGGATGTACGCCCTGGGTCTCCGCCTCTTTTGCGTGGCAGGCGGGGTCGGATGTACGCCCTGGCGTCCCTTGGGTCTCCGCCTCTTTTGCGTGGCAGGCGTGGCACAATGTGCACTGCCAAGGGGTCGGATGTACGCCCTGGCGTCCCTTGGGTCTCCGCCTCTTTTGCGTGGCAGGCGTGGCACAATGTGCACTGCCAAGGGGTCGGATGTACGCCCTGGCGTCCCTTACATCTCCGCCTCTTTTGAGTGGTGGCACAGGCCTGCCACTTGGCTGGGATGGTGCATCTTGCTTAGGCTCAAAGGGCTCACTGCTGGCACAGGCCTGCCACTTGGCTGGGATGGTGAGTCTGGATTAGGGTCACTACGCAAAATGCTGACTGACACAAGGCTGGTACTTAGCTGAGGTGGTGAATCAGGCTTAGGCTCACCAGGCAAAGGGCTCACTGCTGGCAGAAGGCTGCCACTTGACTGGGATGGTGCATCTTGCTTAGGCTCAGCAGGCAAAGGGCTCACTGCTGGCACAAGGCTGGTACTTAGCTGAGCTGGTGAATCAGGCTTAGGCTCACCAGGCAAAGGGCTCACTGCTGGCAGAAGGCTGCCACTTGACTGGGATGGTGCATCTTGCTTAGGCTCACCAGGCAAAGGGCTCACTGCTGGCACAAGGCTGCCACTTGGCTGGGATGGTGAGTCTAGATTAGGGTCACTACGCAAAATGCTGGCTGATGGCACAAGGCTGGTACTTAGCTGAGGTGGTGAATCAGGCTTAGGCTCACCATGCAAAGGGCTCACTGTTGGACAAGGCTGCCGCGTAACTGGGATGGTGAGTCTGGATTAGGGTCACTAGGCAAAGGGCCAGCTACTGATTCAAGGTTGGCACCTGCTGGTGCTGGGCTGTGCTGCTTGTGAAGCACCCAAGGGGTTTGCCACCTTGCTTTCCTTTTGAGGGGTTGCCAGCAACTCCTCCATATCAAAAGCTGAAACTGGGCTTCGAGGTTCAGGTTGCTTGTCAGGCACTTCAGCTTGCAGTTGAGGATCACTGAAAGCTGCCCTGATTTCCTCTTCAGTGGGTGGCTCTGTGGAAGCTGGGAGTGCCTTGGGCTTCCTGCCCTTCCTTTTGCCAAACTGGTCTTTCTTGACCTCCATATCAATATCTGAAACTGGGCTTCGAGGTTCAGGTTGCTTGTCAGGCACTTCAGCTTTGAGTGGAGGATCACTGAAAGCTGCCCTGATTTCCTCTTCAGGGGGTGGCTCTGTGGAAGCTGGGAGTGCCTTGGGCTTCCTGCTCTTCTTTTTGCCAAACTGGTGTTTCTTGACACCCTTTTGAGCCAAAGCATCTGCATCCTGAGTGCTTCTACCTTTACCCCTCCCCCTTCCTTTGCCTCTCCCTTTTCCTCTCCCCTTCCCTTTTGGTGATCCTAAGGTGATCAAGTCTTCAGTTTCTTTTGGATTCTGCTGCCTTTTCTTTTTCATTTTGGCTTCTCCTGCTTCACATCAGGATCATTTCGGTTTTCAAGGTCTTCCTCTAGAAGCTCCAAAAGCTCTTCATATTCTGAATCATGTCCATCATCATCTTTCTTTTTCAAACTTGATCTAGCTTTAAACTCTGCAAGCTCCTCATCATTTTTTGCATGGATTTCCATCAGCCTGTGATAACACTCAGCTTTGGATGGTGCACCAGGCAAAACAACACCATAGGCTGCCAACACTGCTTTGACTTCCTTCACAGTGAGGTCCAAGCCACTTTGAACCCTTGCCCTGGGCAATGGAACTGCTTCACCAACTTGCTTGAGCACTAGAGCACCATTTTCATTTTCAAGGGCAGGCTCCACAGGAATCTCCATGCAGCCTTCAAGAGAGGTACAGTAATGTGCTTGACGTGCAAAGCAGTTTTTTGTGCAATTGGCTTGAAAAAGAAATCTTCAGTGCCAGGGGTGGTGCCATCCTCTTCAGAAAAAAATCAAGCACCCATACTGTGCATCCACTTTGTGCTTTGGCCAAAACCAAATAAGCCAGTCCCTCCTCTCTGTCAGCCAGCACTGAGCCAGGATCCCCCACCAAACAAGAAAGTTGGTGGGTTTGGGGTGTAACTTCGGTATTCATCAAGAATTCAAAGCTCATAGCTTCCTCAAACTGGGACATGGCTGAAGTAGATGGCCACCAGTGGGAACCTGACTTGGCATGCATCATCAATTGAAACTCCTTCTTCATCTTGTGGCTATTGGGATGTGTCAGGGGGACTACTTTTGGCAAATCTTGTGCTTTTGCCAATGCAAGATCAAGTTCGCTGATGCTTACATGGTCTACTTTCCTGCTCTGAAGGATCTTGGAATCTATGCAAGCCTTGAACTTATGCACTCTAGATCTTTGGTGGTGGCGAGCCTGTCTCAAGGTATCCTTGGCACTTTGGTGTGAATTTTCAATAACAGATGTGCACCCTAAATGCTGGATCAGGCACTGCATAATTGTTTGGGCATGCCTTGTGCTGTTGATGACATCTGACTCATTCATGAGAAAGCACACCCTTGTGATGGATTCCTGCAGGAAATGCATTGCTTCAAAGCCTGGAATGTACTCACCCTTCATGTGTCTGGCTTCAAGTGCTATTTTTTCCCAATCTTTTTGCATGGCTAGCTGGGTCTCAAGTGCAAAGGCTAGGTCCTGCTGGGATGCAAGCCAAAGTGGGCAGTATCTAATTGGAGGCGTCAAGTACTGAGCAACCAAAGACATTGACCTTTTTGCAACCAGCTTGGCAATGAAATCCAAATGCATCTCTAACCTTTTTTTCTTGGTGCTTGCAGAGGTGGCTTGATGTGGGTACAGTGATTTCATCACTTCACTATCCAAAAACCCTTGCACCATCAAGTCATACAGCTCATCCACCCACCCAGGCTTGCATTTCTGAATGGTATGCAAAGCAACCTGCTGTGCAGTGAGAACATCTTTTGCTCTGCTTGCATGATGGCTCCAAGAAGGCTGGCCCAAGTATTTGATCAAATCCTTCTGCCACATGGAGGTAGGTGTGATCAACAAAGGAGCTAGGGCCCAGGTCCCGTGCTTCTGCTTCAACTGCTGCAACTCCTGCTTATCAGTGGGGCCTGTAGCTGGAATGCTCAGGGATTCTTCTGGCCTAACATAGCTGGACACATGGGTAGGAGAGCAATTTTTAGTGTTCCATAGCATTATGAACTTGGTTGCCCAACATTCCCCTGAGAAGTATTGCTCAATTTCCCACCAAGAAAACCACCTCATCAACTTAACTACAGGGCCTAAAGCCTTGATGTTATTCATCAGAAGAAGTGATTCAAACATTTTTTCCCTCTCCTCAGGTGTTTGGGGTTCTGCTACGCGCCGCTCCTAACATATCCATGGGATGAAGATAAGGAAGGGCTCTTGATGTGCTGGTGAAGAAGTGACTATGTCAGTGGCTAAGGCCTTTTTCTTACTGAACCACTCCTTACTGCCACTGGGTCCATAGTTGCAGTTAAACAACAAGCTGAATGCTAAGAATGGCTTGAAAAGATTAGCTGATTTCAAAGAAGCTTTCAAATCATTCCACCCCCTATGGAAAGGGTCGAACTGAACTGCCACTGCTAGCTTCAACTTGTAGACTAGATATGAAAGCCCAGCTCTATTTATGCCACCTTGGTCTGACATAGAAACTAACAAAGGGCAAGTGGCAATTTGAAAGTCTTTGGGAATTTGAACATTTTTCTCTTGGGTTCTAGTGTTCACCACTCAAAATTCCCCATGCCCATGCTCAAAAATTCTGTGTTCAAACTCTTCCAGGGGTCTCCAGAGCAATCCCTTTGGAAACTGGAACTTCTCAAGGGGCCACCCAATTGCTTGCAATGAATGACTCAAAGCCCTGATTTCATTATATCCCTCCACTCTGGTTAGTTTATTGATGGCTGACAAAGCTCGAATCTGGGGGTCCACTTCGCTTTTGAGGACTGATTTCATGTTTTGTATTGGCAGGTAAGCAGCCATTCCATTGGGGCCACACTGGCCAGAAAAAACAATGGATACCATTGTCTCAACATCATAAGTGCTGGGATCCCAAGATACAACAAAATGGAAGCAATCTTGGTAAGTTTGCTGGATCTTTTGGCAATAAAGGCCTGTTGCCAATGTTTCCTCAGCACTCACCATCAAGCAGCCACCAGGGACAAGATCTTCATGGGATGTGGCTCAATTTCTCCTATGATGCCTCACTTCTCTCATCTTTTTGAGGAAAATCATTTTGTTCTGCCATGGAACTTTCCTGCTTTTGCCGTTTCTAGTTTTTAACAAAGGTGCCTGCTGGAGAGGCAACAAAGACTTTAGGTAAGCATACTTGTCCAGGATCCTGGGGCACAGGAAAAGGATCTTTGGCCAAAGAAAGCCGCCCAGGTACTGCCATACCTTTCTCACACCTGCTGAATTTTTAGCCCAAGCAAGCAGTACCAAAATATCCCAGAGAGTTGGGTGAGTCTCAGCTGATGTAATCCTGTACCCACAGAAACCTTTAGACACTAAGCTACCCCAAGCCAAGCTGAACCCTTTGTTCTGCATCAACAAAGTTTGGAAATTTTCTACAATGCCTGTAGAACTAACTGTCAAGTACTGCTCATGATATCTCCTATCACTTCCATAGCAAACACCTGGGCAACCTTCTGCTGCCTCCAATGCTGCCACAGAAAGCTGCACCAAGCTCACCATCAGTTTGATGGCATTGGCTTTGGTTTCTAAGGGTCAGCAGCAGCAAGAGCGCACCAGTGCCAACAGCATGATCTCCGTTGGTTTTTGACTCCCACCCATGGTATTGGATCTGGTTAGCACTTAGCTCAGCTGCAATCAGTTCACTGGTATGGTGGTCTCTGTTTTCATGCAAAAATCGATGGCACTTCGGGTTTCTCATTTTGACTGCATCAGCAACCCTGCTCCACTCCCACAAGCACTGCCTAGTGTTGGGTTCAACATAAGCTGCCAGGGTGGGGCCATCAGAAATGCTGACCAGGGCTGGCCTTATGGCAAGTTCACTATCAGCAAAATGCTCTGGTGGCATCCACTTGGCTGCTTCTGCTGGCTGCCACTGCTTGGGTGCTTCTGCTGGCTGCCACTTCATCTGCACTTGGGGGACAGGTTGCAACTGTCTGCTCAACAAAGTAGCTGTGAACTTCAAAAGGCTGCTGCTGTAAAATGGGCTGCACAGGGTCCCTAGGTTGTGGGTCCAAAAGCACTGCAGGGCCACATGTTCCACCAGTGGTTGTTTCACTCACAGGATGAGGCAAATGAAAGCCTTGCCTTGGATTTGCACATTCAATCTGCTGGGCCACAGGGCTGGCATGCAAACTCATTGGCATCGGTTCTGCATGTGAAATTTCCACTGGTTGGCTGCATGGGGCAGCAAAGGGGCCAATGCCACTTGAGCTTAAACTAGCAAAATCATGCTGGGCACCAGGGCAACACAAGTTATGCATGTCCACAGCCACTGGCTGCACTGAATTGCCATACAGCTCCATCAGGGCAGGCTGGGCTGAAGCACCTGGGCTTCAAGCACCTGACGCTGAGGATGGCTGTGGCATGCCATATGGCTGGCTGGGTGGTGCAGCAAAAGAACCACTAGCTACATGACCTTGGTAGGGGCTTGGAAAGGCTGAGGACAAATTGGCAAAACCTTGCTGTACATCTGGACTGGCTTGGCCAAAGCTATGCATTTGCATGGGTCAGCATGTGGTGCACCAAAAGTTGGCACACCAAAACCAACCCCCATGTCATTGGAAAACAAAGGCACAACTGATGGCTGCATTGGGGATGGCTCAACCTGTGGCATGGGCATGTTGCTACTGGGCCCAAGAGTCTGTCCTATCAAACCAGGCTGACTTAAAGGGCCTAGCATTAGGGATGGCTGTGGCATGTCACATGGCTGGCTGGGTGGTGCAGCAACAGCACCACTCATGTCACATGGCATGTTTGGAACACCATGTGGACCACTAACAACCTGAGCTTGGTAAGGCTGTGCATCTGGATTGGCTTGGCCAAAGCTATGCATTTCAATGGTGGCTGGCCCAGGTTCTATGGCAGTGTTGCATGGCTCAGCAAGTGGTGCACCAAAAGTTGGAACACCAAAACCACCTGCCATGTCATTAGAAAATACAGGCGCAAGTGATGGCTGCAGTGGGCATGAGGCAACCTGTGGCATGGGCATGTTGCTACTGGCCTCCAGGCTTTGTCCTTTCAAACCAAGCATGTGGGATGGCTGTGGCATGCTGCACAGCTGGCTGTGTGGTACAGCAAAAGCACCAACCACTGTTGTCACATGGCATGTTTGGAACACCATGTGGACCACTAACAGCCTGAGCCTGGTAAGGCTGTGCATCTGGATTGGCTTGGCCAAGGCTATGCATTTCAGTGGTGGCTGGTCCAAGTTCTATGGCAGTGTTGCATGGCTCAGCAAGTGGTGCACCAAAAGTTGGAACACCAAAACCACCTGCCATGTCATTAGAAAATACAGGCGCAAGTGATGGCTGCAGTGGGCATGAGGCAACCTGTGGCATGGGCATGTTGCTACTGGCCTCCAGGCTTTGTCCTTTCAAACCAAGCATGTGGGATGGCTGTGGCATGCTGCACAGCTGGCTGTGTGGTACAGCAAAAGCACCACTCATGTCACATGGCATGTTTGGAACACCATGTGGACCACTAACAGCCTGAGCTTGGTAAGGCTGTGCATCTGGATTGGCTTGGCCAAAGCTATGCATTTCAATGGTGGCTGGCCCAGGTTCTATGGCAGTGTTGCATGGCTCAGCAAGTGGTGCACCAAAAGTTGGAACACCAAAACCACCTGCCATGTCATTAGAAAATA